TTCCTAAAAAAATTGGCACGGATAAGCTTTCTTACGCAAGATTTCTTTTAAGAAGTATTTTATCAAAGCTTAAGTCATGCTGGAACAGACAGTATGCAATACCTAGTTACAGTGTTTGGCAGTGGCAAGGGGATTTTTATCAGACATTGTTATCCTGTACATTCCTTTCTCTATTTTTTGTACAACTCGTGTTTATGTGAGCGTATTTTTATTGGCACGAACATTTAAGAGTGTCCTTCGAAATAAAATAACAATGATAATTTAGTATAACCGTTTTTCTAAAGGCGTGTTGTGTTTTTAGATGTGCTGCTTTGTTTGCATATTCTACGTATTATTAACTTCGTTGTTAGGGTGTTCATAACCATTACAACAATCCCGTGCATACTGAATCACCTGTCGTGGTAATAATCTGCTGTGTCATAGACTGAGGCAGAAATGTGATTTGTTTCAACCTGCCTTGCATGTTTGTGACAAGAATGTATTCGCCTCCAAGTGACAGGGGTCACGGTAGTGTATGGACAATGTTTTAGAAACAAAGATGTACATCTGTTTAGTTTAAAAACAAGCAGTTTAATACTTTAAATAAACCAAGACAATCATCATTGAAATTCAAATGTTTTAAATAATACTGCGTTCTCATGTTTACCTTAACCACTGAAGTATACAAATTGACATCGATGTCAAAATAATGGACACAAAATAAAAGGGTGAACAGTTTGAACACCTCGTGCATTGATCTTAGATGTAAAAGAAAACACGTTTGTTTGAGAAACTGGATACGGTAAAACTATTTAGAGAGCATAGCGTGGATCTTGTTGGGGTGTGCATAAGTGCCGTAATACACGCCAAGCATGCATGTCAATAAGATTGGTACGATAACTTTCATTATTTGTTCGTTATTGGTAACAAAATAATTGCATTGAAAGAGAAAAATAAATTCAAGTTTTCATTGTTACGTTTTCAATGTAAGACTTCGCAAAGTAATACCTTCATGCAGCTGTGATAGACTTTAAGACGTGTTGGTTTTACAACAAATCCTTACGTTGTTCTCTGTTTGGTGGAAAAAGTGAATAGGAACATATATACGTCAATATTCATACTTGACTGTTCTTCTGATTGTGAATTTACCTTACTTGAAACTATATTTGCTAATTAATATCCGATCACTCACTAATGTCGCCGTGTTCAAGATGTCCGTTTTATCATGTCTATTGTAGAGTTTGGTCCTGTTTATACGTAGTTTACTGTTTCTGTATCGGGCATTCGATGCATGCTAGTTGATGAGATAGTCCTAGTAAATGTAATGCAGGTAGTACACGCACTTAAATACATGTATGAAGGGTTAGCTAGCGCTGTAAGTTTGCTTCAGTAATGTTTACCTTTAATGGTTATGAACTGAAACATGACGAAATCCTATCCTTATTCTAGTATAGATGTACGGGGATCCTTAACTTAGTGATTTGATTCTGATATGAAATCTCATTAAACACTTCATACATTGAACGTGAACAGATTTCTCCAGTTTCAGTGTACGTTAGGGAGCCTGAAGTAAGTGCCTCTGCAAGTCGTTTTACATCTTTCGTTACCGGAAGAAGGATATTAATCATGGAAGTGTAAAAAATGTTCGGCATTCTAAGGTAAGAATCCCACGGAGTGTTAAAAATCACAAAGAAAAATAAACCAAAATGTATTTCTGATTTATGTCTGTCCGGTAACCATACCTTATATGACTGAATTAAATGGCTGTGTTGGGTGCCTGCGGCGTGGTTTGTTAGTGAGATAGCATTCTAAAGTAAGCATCAGATCCGAGGTATTGCAGGAAAGCAATTACGGTATACACTGAGGTATCGCCTCCAGGACACACTCATGTATTACACTAATGGAGGCACGTCCTATAAACATCTTACATATGTAGCTGTTAATAGGACGTGTATTCCTCCAATGAACAAAACCAATCTCGTTTAAACTTAATTTAGAAGTGTAGATCCTAGGTGCATTGATGTATCTACTTGAACTATTTTATCGTAGGGTGTAGTCGATGTTTGGTTCTTGTTCGTTTTGGTGAGATTGTGGGCATGGTGCAGTTTGTGATGACGAGAATTCATTAGCCGATTTATATTGCATTTTGCATATATTTTTCCTTGAGTATGAAACAACTTATCTAATGCTGTCCCTTTGTCAAGCAGGTTTGTAGATATTTTGTCAGTATTGGTGCAGTGATGTTTTCGAGCTGTTAAAGTTTTCCGTCGTGAGTATTTTAACGTATCTGCCGCTTTATTTAGGTTTATCTTCGAATAACTTGCATTCCGTTCATAATATGTATATATCAGGTATGGATGGGTTTTGATGTTGCTTTGCTCAGCATATCTGTGTTTGTTTAGTTTGAGTCCTTCTTCAAATTGTTCTTTTAATGTGTTTGATTTGTGATTTCTTTGCCTGTTGTGAGATGGTCATGTTTGCACAGAGCTCTGATTTCTTGGATTTTTCTTTCTGGTTATTGTTTCTAGAAGGGGGAGGGGGCGAAAAGAGAGAGATGCTATATATTTTTGTTGGGGGTAACACAAGGTCAACAAATGGGAGTGTGTGTTTTCAAATCATCTATGCATTGTGTGAAGCGGGGTTCTATTCTGGATGTTAACCTTTATCTCCCCATTCGTTTGAATCGAACAGTGATTGTTTCTGCTATTGGAGTAAAGACAGTCGTGAAACATTTAATTCAATTTCGTATGTTGCAGAGCTAAAGAAAGCGAAAGAAGGGAAATAACTCCTAAAACTGTACCCTATAACCTTATTAGGATTTCGCGTCATGGAATACACCAAACAAAATGTAACACAGCGTCAATACACAATAAAATATACCAAAGTTAATACGCAAAAACAAAATATACCACAGCATCAATACACAAGAAAAAATTACAAAATTTAATACACAAAAACAAGATATACCACAGCGTCAATACAAAAGAGAACATTACCAAAGTTAATACACCAAAACAAAATATACCACAGCGTCAATACACAAGTAAATATACCAAACTCAATACACATAAACAAAATATACCACAGCGTCAATACACATGAAAATATACAAAAGTTAATACACCAAAACAAAATATACCACAGCGTCAATACACAAGAAAAATATACCAAAGTTAATACACCAAAACAAAATATACCACAGCGTCAATATAACAAGATAACAATACCAAAGTTAATACACCAAAACAAAATATACCACAGCGTCAATACACAAGAACATATACCAAAGTTAATACACCAAAACAAAATATACCACAGCGTCAATACACAAGAAAATATACCAAAGTTGATACACCAAAACAAAATATACCACAACGTCATTACACAATAAAACAATACCAAAGTTAATGCACCAAAACAAAATATACCTCAACGTCATTACACAATAAAACAATACCAATGTTAATACACCAAAACAAAATATACCACAGCGTCAATACACCGAAATGAAAAATACAAATGTGTTAACACACTTTAGAAAACTGATAAAATCGGTATATACCACAACGTTAACACCTCAGAACGAAAATATGTACATGACGTCGTTACAAAAAGACTATCAGAAAAAAGACGTAACAAAATGCATCGTTAATTTTAAAGATTCGTTTTCAGAATTATTTAAAAGAGCCTCAAAACATCGTGTACACATGATATATATATTTTGATCTTATATCGTTTGATTATTACATTATAAAATTGATTAAAATCAAGAAAAAACACTGATAATATTATAGATAAGATCAAGTTCAGTTAAGGCTTAATTTTGATTTCATAGGTATGTGTAAATATCAGTATTATATAGCCTAGGAACATCGATATATGTAAATATCAGTATTATATAAGCTAGGAACATAGACCTGGATGTGTAAATATCAGTATTATATAAGCTAGGAACATAGGTATGTGTAAATATCAGTATTATATAAGCTAGGAACATAGGTATGTGTAAATATCAGTTTTATATAAAAAAGGAACATAGGTATGTGTAAATATCAGTATTATATAAGCTAGAACCAGAGGTATGTGTAAATATCAGTATTATATAAGCTAGAACAAAGGTATGTGTAAATATCAGTATTATATAAGCTAGGAACATAGGTATGTGTGAATATGAGTATTATATAAGCTAGAACATAGGTATGTGTAAATATCAGTATTAAATAAGCTAGAACAAAGGTATGTGTAAATATCAGTATTATATAAGCTAGGTACATAGGTATGTGTAAATATCAGTATTATATAAGCCAGGAACATAGGTATGTGTGAATATGAGTATTATATAAGCTAGAACATAGGTATGAGTAAATATCAGTATTATATAAGCTAGGAACATAGATATATGTAAATATCAGTATTAAATAAGCTAGAACATAGGTATGTGTAAATATCAGTATTATATAAACTAGAACATAGGTATGTGTAAATATCAGTATTAAATAAGCTAGAACAAAGGTATGTGTAAATATCAGTATTATATAAGCTAGGAACATAGGTATGTGTAAATATCAGTATTATATAAGCTAGGAACATAGATATATGTAAATATCAGTATTATATAAGCTAGAACATAGGTATGTGTAAATATCAGTATTATATAAGCTAGGAACATAGATATGTGTAAATATCAGTATTATATAAGCTAGAACATAGGTATGTGTAAATATCAGTATTATATAAGCTCGGAACATAGGTATGTGTAAATATCAGTATAATATAAGCTAGAACATAGGCATGTGTAAATATCAGTATTATATAAGCTATGTACATAGGTATGTGTGAAGATGGGTATTATATAAGCTAGGAACATAGATATATGTAAATATCAGTATTATATAAGCTAGGAACATAGGTATGTGTAAATATCAGTATTATATAAGCTAGGAACATTCTTTTAAAAAAGAATGATTTCACTGATTGATAAATACAGGTTCCACTTCTTGCTTAGAATTAGGTTTCAAAGTTTATTTATAGAAGTAATAAAAAAAAATCTGGAGACTTACCAATGACAGTAAAACCTCGTTATATCGCCATCGTTTGTAAGCATTATTTTGGTATTTAGTTCCAGATTATCCGATCGGATGACATATCGAGGAATTGATAGGAAAAAAGAAGTGAACCTTGAAATATATTGACCATAAGCGAGGTGGACAATGAAACGAGGGGCATTATATCGAAGGTGATTGTGCTAACACAAAAGCATGGTCCTTTGATTAGCATGTCAAATTCTAAGTCAATGTTAATGACGTAACAGTTAACAACTCAAATCTGAAATTTTAACGGGATAATTCGCTTTGTAACCTCAAATGTGTGCTTAGAAAATTAACATTCTAATTTTTCTTCCATAAGATAAAGTATAGTTACAATACAATTATTTTTCCAATAACAGCATTTATTGCACACAATGTAAGCTCAAGGATGCATGTTCATGAGACATGCTTATTATATGACAATACTTTATAAAATTCAAGACTTTATTTCATGTATATTATAAAAATAGGTATTTGTGAACAAAGTTAATACTAGAAAGCAAACATCTTGGTCATCAACGCTAAATATGCATCCGGATCAGAAAAAAACAAACCATAGTCAACTCTTTCCAATGATAGTAAAATACTGCACAATGTATGACATGTATTTGTTGAATGCACTTGAATGAACAATCCAATTTAACAAATTTTCAAACTTGTACCATCGACATCATGTTAACAATTAAATTCCTTGTGTTTTACTCGTATTCACAGCCTTTATTTTGAACCGCTGTTTATGCCACCTCATGACTGGACGGACGCAGAGTGAAACTCGTTACCCCGCCATCATTTTTCAATCATTGCAATATGAAAAGACTTGCCGACGTCACGGGAAAATAATGAAAGGAAAACGGAAAATGAGACATTGAAATATATTTGTAAAAAGCAAGGTGGCAAATGAAACGAGTGACCATCAATGTTACAGCTTAATTCATTAACCAAAATATTTACATATTTACAATACAGCGAAAATGATCCCGACAATGGCAGGCACAACGCAGAAAAATAAAACAAGCAGCACCCACAGAAAGATGCAGAATATAACGTGAGGTCGGGGTTTTATAGAAATCGGCGCCCGTCCTGTCACTACCTGTAATAATAAAAAAAAAAGGATACCGTAAGAATGACATCGCAAGCTATACAACAGTGAAAATAGAACTTTAAATATCGACGTCAAACATTATGGGAAAACTATAACTAACAGCAGCAGAACTATTGATGCTGATATTGCAAGCTTAGAACCATCGACCACTTACATCATTTGCGGTGTTCGTAAAAAAGCTAAGAACAACGAGTAAGGAAGAACTTTATATATATATATAGTACGAGCTAAGAATCACTGGGAACTTAACAGCAGTGATATTGTAAATATCAATATCACATGCCTAAACTCACCTAAGGAAATATTTAGTTTGAAAGTCAGAACTACATAAATCCCATATATAAGATTATGACTGTATTGAAAAAAATAATGGAAAAAAAATGAAATAAATTTAAAATAAAAACAAAAATCTGTATTTAAATCTCATAGTTATAGCTACAATACACTTAATTTGCATAGTCGTTAAATGTATAGTGTTGTAAACAAAACCATAACCGGTCCCTGTAGTATCAATTGTTGTAAACATTACAGTGACTGACCTCTGAGGGTTGCCAGTGATATACTTACTGGTGAATGAAGCTGTACGGTTACAGACACCACAATTAAACAATACAAGGACTGTTCCTGCACTAGAAGTGGTATAAACTGTACGCTTATTGTTACCTGTTGTTGGAGCGTACCGTTATAAACAGTAAACATATTAGTCCCTGTAGTTATCGGATATTTACTATCTCTGTAGGTGAGGTGACCACAACAATACCTTCACTGCCCCCGCTAGTAGTTGAAATATAAAACATGTACTTACCATGTACAAATGTACCTGTAGTTCTTTTTGTCATCAACGTTTTGTTACACTTACCGGTCCCTGTATTTGTATTACATGGGCACCAGGAGGACAGCGGATGTCTTGGAGACGGTGTTGCCCGGGTACCTGTATAAAATATGGTCCCGTCCCCAGGGTCGGGGGATAGGGCTGATAAGGAGGAGGGTCGGGATAATAGCCTGGGAGGGTCGCTGTGACATCTGGGTCAGTCGGTTTGAGTGGTTTTGGTTTCTCCTCCATTTATATTATACTGAAATGTGAATGAGTGATAAGGGGATCCTGAGTAAAACATTATTGTTACTGTTTTATGTTTTATTATCTTACAACTGTTTAACAGATGTTGCTACCAGCTTTATCAACACAGGAATGGTTAGCTTTTAACTTGTTTATCTCCCTGGTACTAACGAATTTGCCCAGACTGTCAACATGGAAAACATAGCAAGCAGGATTGAAATATATTTCGGTATTTGTTTTGGAACACTTTAAACAAAGCGTTTCATTCCTTGACATCCATTAATGAGTACTACAAGTATATTTCGCACAGTAATCTTTCTTTGGCTATTTTAAGCACCAGCTAAATAGACTTTTAATAGTTGATTCCTTACTTGGATTTGTAGTGATTATTTGGTTCCCTAATTAATCTGTACTAAACAAATACTATTCAAATGTATCTGTTTCGCCTCCTCGAGACATTACCTACCGGCCTCTATATACATATGGTTCATGAACATACAGTCATGTAAAATTAATGTACGTAAATACAACGTGAGCATTCTGTCAACTTATATCCTAATACACGGTGAGGATTATATACAGATTTTCTAATTTCTGCGCATTTATTCAACATTTGTCATAAAAATTTGTATATAACGTACAAATATCTTACTTTATGTTTAAAGGGTATATCGTTTAATATGAACGAGATATCTCATAAAAGATATATGATATCTTATAAAACAAATAAACTCTATCTCATAAAATATTCTTCATAATATAACTCTATATTTATTATACATGTATAAGACTGTATTAGCCAAGCTGTTTAATAGATATCTTGTGAGGTTGTTGTGACGTTCGGAATTAAATAAATATTGTAAAATAACTGCTCCTGACCTTATTACAGATTTACCAAATCAACATGTCCGGACCATAAACATGTAAATATGTCTTCTAACTCTTTAATAACGCCAAAATAAGAATATTTAAAGTAAAAACAATATGATTATGCATTATTTCATAAAGCAACTTTTATAAGATATCTAATATATACATAAGTTATCTAATGTATGATATATTAATTTAATATTGAACATCAGAATACGTATCTGGTGTATTATATATCTTATATGAAATATCTTAGAGTGCTTATAAGACATATCACACTATTTTATGAAACACAGGATCAACATTGCTCATTGAATAAATATTAAGCTGGCTTGCCATACACGTCACGATAACAATCTTTTCGGAACACATCTGGTTGGTTCCATTCCATCTATATATTCCAAATAACTCTTCACCTGATGCAGGTTTATGTTGAAACAATGACAAAAATATTAAAACATGAATTTACTGGGTGAGCGAATAATAGACCAGAATATTTGTAGCTCGGTATTGTAGACAATCAAGGGAATGTCTGGAGTTATGTAACACTTGGGTCTCCCTAATACTTCGCGGCAAATAGTACGGTCTATAACCACCTAGTAAATAACCGTAACCAGCTGTCGTTACGTAAAAACGATAACCATGGGGACACTTACACGGAGAACAGCATCGATATTTATATACAGAAGAACTTACCTTTTAAGAAATCGATGTCGGAGAAACAAATGACCACAGGTATATAATACGTTATGTCGGTATTCGTTCCGCTCGGACGAGCATAAAGGTTATAATGTACTACAATGAAAGTGGATTATAATGCCAGTAGGACTCAGGACTTTAAATAGTCCATTGGTATAGTTGTGTTTACATTATAAATACCCCGTCAATACAAGTTAAACAGTCTGGCCAACTCAACATTGAGCTCAAAATGATTGTTTTATAGATATTTTAGTATCTAATAGTTCATAAATTTGATTCATGGTATTACCCAGTGCCAATGGTGAGCCATTAATTCATCAGTCGTGTGTGACTTACGTTAAAGTGTACGGCAGTTTCTACTGCATTCGATTTCTTATATTGCCCTATACATTTCTTATTCGGTCCAGAAAGTAATATGGATATCCATTTGTTTATTGACCTTTTCATGGGTTTTTTTTAATGGTTTAACAAAAGTGGTGTTGTACACATAAATAATAAGGGAGGACCCACCTACAATGTTCCTATCTGATTTCAGTGATTTCCTATGAAATTCCAGACAAATTAATTTAGAACAATGTTGAGTGAATATGATACAATTATGGTCTTGAATTGAGGCGTTGCATGATTACTTAACTTGGTCCCAACATTATTCTTGTTATGTCCGAGGCTGACATTTTTTTCTCTCAAGAACATACAGCAATTTAAACATATTTTATAGTGAAGTTTGCCACACTGTGGTGGTATTGTGTAACAATAATGTTATAACTAGTGTAACCCCATATCGTTACTTCAGCAGTTTAAATGGTAGATATACATCGACGACTATATGATTTAACAATTAAAACAATTATATGTAATTATTTAACAATACAAAGTCAGAGATAACAGGCGGTTATCATTGGCAGGATTATTTCCTTTTCAATGTCGTGAAATATACTTTGACCGTGTTTCTATCGAACATACCATAGACAGCGGAATATTGAGATAAGCAGGAATATCACAATTGGCATATGAGCGAACCTGTTCTGCTCTTCAGACATATTTGTTTGCCTTTCTGACGTCTTACCCTTCAGTTCAGTGTTAAAATCGAAACCGGCATTGAAGCTCATATTCTACTTTTCAAATCGTTAGCCTTTCGCTTGATCGTGACAAATGCTTCACCACATACTACCGCCAAATTTCAGTTTCAGATGTAGATGAAGCGACGATTAAATAAGTGGTTGTTTGATACACCTTTGCGATGTAAACTAAGCAACAAACGGTAGAATAAGGTTAGAAAAACCTATCCTTGTTGTCAAGCATGACGGTCATTAGAACCCGGCGTCTTTTTTGATGCATCATTATTTGTGTCTTTTTACTTTAAAAAAAATAGTGTTTTAAATATTTTCCCGTTAAATATCATATACTTCACTTGTATGACAGACATATATAGGTTTTCACAATATTTGTTACGTATATCCATAGTATACAACCTTATTTTCTTAGATAGAGGAGAATGTTTGTAATTTCGTTTGCGCGTTTTAAAAAAGATTAAATGATCGATGCCGAAGCACCAAAATGTGTATAGTTCGTGTTATATTTCGATTGTACGTTTAAGAGTTTAGAAAGTGGTTTACCAACATAGACTTGCGAAATGAGCTCTTAACATTAACAGATTACACTTAGTATTTATTTGGTCGATAATTGCATCAGAGTATTCACAGTCAAAATAATGATTAACGATTGATCAGCAGCTACCACTTCATAGCTCCAACCAAGATATTAAAATCTCTGAAGATGTCTGAAACATTTAACAAACCAAACAAAATGTCCGTCTGTACTTCTTCAATAGTTTTCGACAACATCTTGAGTTATCAAGTATGAAAAAGTATCTCAAGTTCACAATAAGCAGCTTATTGTTGTTAAATTGTGAAAGACAACTTAAACCTGAATGATGTTCGAAACCTAACTGGTTTCATTGAAACATACCTGACAAAGGCTTGAAAAGGCATTTGTTTTGGCGGCTTTATTAGCATATAATAGCACTACAAGCGTCTGCTTTTGTCAACCGGAAATTTCCAAGCCAAAGCGGTGAAATGAGACTGGAACATCCTCTGACATTTGACCCCATATCAATCCACCATCACGTATTAAAATCTACCAAAAGTATACATTTTTTTAAAGTTAAACATCTGTAGATTTCATTCAATGTAAACTATTTACTTAATTACCTGTTTAAACTACTCAGAGGCACTGTTTTTAACCGGAACAAATTTTATGTAGGAATTGCAATCGTATGAAACACTTGCTGATTGGATGATTTAGTTGTGCGAGATCTTAAAATAAAAAAAATAATAAAAAAAATCCAAACAAAGGGAGTATTTCTGAACTATTTTATTAAAAAGATCTTTCTCTAGTCTATACCACACATCAACTTTAAAACGCATGCGTATTTCAACCAACTCTACGAATGTAATCGATATCGCGTATGCTTTACTATTTAAGATTTCAGTGATGTCAAAAATACTCTTGATGAAATTAATAATGAAATAACGCTGAATTGAATATATATGGTATATTCATAATTATTTCATATTTATTAAAACTGTTTAATCAATTATCATAATTAGAAAAAATAAAATAAAGGGAATAAAAGCAAATACATTAAATGACACATACTTGTGCTGCAAAAATATATCTTTGTTGCACTTAGATTACAATAAGAAACATACAAATTTCTAGACAAAAAAATACGAAATAATTGCAGACTTACTTAATTGATATTATGATCTAATAGACATCTTAAATGATTCAAATTAATGCGCGGTCCCAACGAGTAGAATTTGGTATATAGTTATTATGAAGATTTTTTTCTGTAGAGAAACATGACGTATGTTTTTCGTGTGACTTTATTTTCAATGAAATTTATGTTAAAACATCTCAGCAAATTTATGTTCCATACGAACAATTATTGATACAAAGCGTAAAACGTATGTTAAAAATACCGCGAACTGAGTTCGGTAATGTCACTTCGTCAAACTAACTATTCAAAGATAAAAGAAATATATGTAACCTACAAAATTTCATCGCAGCTCGCTTTTTTTTTATATTTAAAATTTTCTTCTAAATTCAATGACGATAAATACTATAAACCTACTTATTTTAACTTTAATCTTATCTTAGTGGTTTTTGAGCTTTAGATATTGCACAATATTATGATAACTCTAATTAAAGTTTCTGTATATGGTTTCTACTGCATATATTGTAGGCGCGCAAATTCATCAATGCGCTAATCTGCTGAAACTTCGATAATGCCATAATATCAGAGCGCGCTAAAATAAGTTTGTTTACAATAGTGAAATGTGCTCAGTGCTATTTATCTGTTGCATATATCAGATAAATGAATTGAAACAATTTTGTATATCAACTACAGCAATTTGTTATTGACCGACAAATAAGATCACAACACAGACAACACATATAAATATACATAAATATTTAATTATGTTCCACATTACCAATATTTACTTGTTATATTACAATATGGAACCCAACCTAAACAGTACAATGTACTTATGACACGAACTCGCGTACCCCTTGTCAATATTGTGCGAATCTAGTACACGAGTTACATATACATGTATCAACCGAGTTCAATTTTCGACACTTCTTCTACAAGTAACGTAGATATATAGAACAATCAGAAAACCCCGCTTTTTTCAACTATAATCATAAAGTTAAGCTTATTTGTACGATATTTAAAATGAATCAACGTATTTTTGAATATTGATTATAAAAATATGGATGAAAAAAATATGAAATGTTGTTTTATTTTTTCCAATGTTTTTTTTTTCCGTTTTAATTTTTATTTTCGATTGTACAAAATCACGAATGTCAAGATCATACATCTGCTATATTCTTGGACACATTTGGAATCCAAGAGAGAGGAGATAATTATTGGGGCTAGTGGATTGTAGGACTAGTAAGTGTTAGTCATTATTCACGCCAGAAAATATGGGTAAAGGGAACACACAGAGATATGTTTGATGTATTATTAGAATAGGACAGGGTACGTAGGGAAGAACATGGCAGATATACGAATCGTAATATTGTATGGATGTAACGGCCAGCTTTATCTGCCTGGATGACCGTGCAAGGTAATATAATGGTAACTTCATCTGAAAGTTCCCCTAGCTCTATCAACGTAATCTTAAAAATAAAAATGCAGATAATAAGACACACACTTCTTCGTTTAAGACAGAAACGTGCCGATCTTTGCGTTAAGAATCACATTCCGGAATAACATAAAACAAACGGAATGTGGAATGCTTGAAACATGCTTTTCCTGTCTGGAAGAATGCATGTCTAATATAGAAATGGTATGTCATCGGTACAATTAAATGTAAATCGACATTAGAAACACGCTAAATGACAATTTGACATGAGAAAATGTCTCCTCAACACGATACCTACAACTAAAGACGTAGTGTATTCATGGCCATTTAATGTAACGAGAGATTAATGAAATATCATGTAAGCTACATTGGTATCAGAAGATTGTTCAATCGCAAAACTAAACAGTTCTACCTCGGTAAATGGATGAAGCGAATGTATCAAACCATGCCGAAACACACACTACAACGTCATCGTCGTCGATTACTTTGTGACTTCACCATCAGGATGTTCAACCTCCTGCCCACGTTTAGGATATTGTCACTTTCACGTCACCCCGATTATGTTTGCAAACGAGTGGTATTTTATTCAAGAAAAAACAGGAATCCTTCTTGGTCTGTGAATGAGTGAAAGTACACATATCCAAATGTCCGTGGCTTGATGTTACAAAACAATTCAATCACCTGTAAAGACATCGAGAACAAATACGTTTTGCAACTTCTCTTTCATTTTACACACTGCATAAATAAATGGCAAACCAGAATAAGTTGTATCATGATTATAAGCATGCCATGGTTTTTAGTATAAACAGCTTTGCTTAGATTTGCAAAGACTAGTGTAAATATTAAATTTTTCGATTGGTTTCAATTTTTCTATTTTAAAGTCGATAATTTTTAATAATTATAGGATTCCATGTTGCTGTCGTCTTGTTTTCTTCGAAACTCATTAATTATGCTATGTTTTACTTTTATTTTAATGTTATATTTACAAAACATGAAACGGCGAAAAAATGATTCCGTTCAATATGATTTTGTGTATACATGTAATTGCAAAATATTTTAACAACGTAATATGCTTTTCTGTATACAATTATTTATTTTCCCGGAACAACATGAACACAGGACGAGATCATGGTCAGCTTAATTTATATGTATGATTTTACTATATAGTTATTGATCTCAACATTCTCATTCACAATTTACAATTCGGATACACTCTGCACTTTATCACATTTCAATTTCGCAGTTATTTCTTTTTTTATTATTTGGAACAAAATATTGATGCAAATAGAGTTATAAAATGCGTTAAAAAATACAGTGTATCTTTTAAACTGCGGTTATATGACAATCAGCATTAATTTAAAACCGATGTGTTTCTGTGATATTGTCGTAAGTCAAATTAGTATTCTGAAGATACTTTAATATCAACATCCCACTTAGAATTTTGAAGATTATCAAACAATAATTTAAAATCAACTCCAGCTCTTACTAAATCTGAACCGTATGACAAGGATGCTTCAACATCTACAAGTATGTGGCGTAAAGAAAACAGCGTTTACATATCTTTTTTATTCCATAAAATCGAGAAGCCACATAGAATGCGTTAGATTGTAGGAATAAACAAGATTTTTGTGTACAATATGGAATTCGTCGGTTAGACATCTTCCCGGGATACCTGTTTTCGGACATCGTTTATCAAGTACTAATTGAAATGCTATACCAACAAAAACATCGTTCTCTCATTGCCGCCCTGATAACCGAGTTGTCTTACCGTGGAGTGTTGGTGCCTAGGTGAGATTGACACCCATTCTCTTTAGGGCCAACATCGCATTCACCGCTTTCTGCAAATACAAGGCGGATACACTGATAAGACTGATAATGTGGTATATATACTTGGGGATATATATTGCGAACACCAGCTTCATCAGGTAGAGCAAGGCTTCATTCCATTTGATGCTGGTCCACGTCAAACATATTACTTGACCTAAATCTACCGCATCCAACATATTTCGCGCTGAATACTGATGAAAGAGCAAATTTTATTTCTGCTCTGGTTCGTTGCTATTACAATGAATGAATATCATTCCTTCTATAATTATATCACCCAAACGGTAATTGAAGCAGGAGGGGTGAACATTTTTGGAACAAGGTTAGCATCTTAAAAAATCACAATTGATTTATTCTTGATATTGATAGCGATTTCTATAACGCAATTTCCTGATGTTTTGAAATAATTTCACCTTTTAAGAGATATATCTAAAATATGAATATATTAAAAGAAAAATATATCATGTTTTGGGCAGGCAATAGTTATAAACATCAAACAGAAAATGGTCTCAACATGAAGAAAATCGTAGTTTCAGGATCTTCGATTTTCAGAACAACAATGTAACTTTGCTGAACAAGAAGTATGATTTAAGGCAATGCCCCTTCAATTGACATTAATAATGTATCTGAATGAAAACGTGATGAATAATTGCCATTAACACCAATTTAGAACTTGCTCGAATGTTGTTTATAATCTAAGAACAACACGATCAAAAAAAGTGATCAGCTGTCCTTCCTAATCGAAAATTTTCAAAATGGTAACAATCGCCTTAGGTTAAAGAATAATGCCTCTTTTTATAATTTTCAACTTGGCGTTAATAAAATTGTTATATGAATCATGCGAAGTAGAAAATGTACGTATCAGAAAGAAGGTAGTTACGGAACACTTTGAGAGCTTACCTAAATCGATGCGCCATTTACATTATAAAAAAGTACACATTCCCTACCAGTAGCTATTATTCACTATGTGCATGTTCCTGTGCTACAATTGTCGCGGTGTGAGTGATATTTAGTATAACAACCTATATCAAACGTCAGTGCTAAAAATACAATTACTTCTATCAATCTCCATTCGACAAAAGCTTAAACATGCATTTCTGAGAAAATCGATTCTTGAACATGAAGATGATCTATGACGTAAGTTGATGCTCATGTTGATTCACAATTCTTCATACAATCTTCAGAAGTAATATTTAAGCGAATGTTTAAGCTCGATGTTTCCCAAAATAGAGTATATTCCAGAAGAACACATTGCCATTACTTATCAAGTTTTGAATAGAGTAGAGTTAGCATGGCTACCGTCAATCCCTTAAGGTTCACCACTGAAGACTATGTCAATTTATTTTAACTCGTCATGCAAATTGTATAATGCTATCCAGGCTAGACAATGAAATAGACAGATACCAGATACTTCTCAAGTTCCAACACTACCAATATGTTTTAGCTGTTGACCACACGATATGGGGAAGCCACAATTGAATTGGTATATATGTATATATTAAACATTACAACACACTGTTATGTTACATGAATCTTAAAAACCAATTAAATTTGTATTGAAATATTACTTACAGGTTGAATATGAAGGAGTCACAATGAGGAGTATAATGAAAACATGTCAACAGTCAATTTGGAATGGTTTGCTTTTGGTAATTTTGAGAGGGAGGACTTTGGTGACACTACACTTAAAACAGTCATAGCTTACCTTTGATCTACTAAAGCTACAAATATACATGTTTAATACTAAAGAGGTAAAAAGGGTGACTACCATTAAACGGTTCACGCTGCTAATACGCTCACCTGTGTTATAATCAGGCTGTAAAGAATTAAAACGGATCTGAATGGCGAGTACAGCTATACTTATTTATGTTGTAATACAATTAACTGTGATAGTGTAATAGTCCTAATGTTGCAGTTACCAAAAACACGTTCAGAGTTTTATGAATATTTTTTTTTAGAAATATATATTCAAACATGTATTAAGATTTTAAAAGAATGTCCAGACATAATGACCAAACGAATGTACCGCTTGCTATTGTTTATTGACAACAATCTGGTAAAAGTTTAAAATACGTTAATGACGATTGTTTTTGAGAAAGTAAATCAAAAACGATATAGAGGTATTTTCTACCACAAGAACATATTAATGTTTCATGATCGATAATGTGTTGTAGTGCTCACCAACTATTATGAAAAAAATATCTGAGTCGATATAAAACCCATGCATGGAGTGCAGTATAAACATGTTTCATATTATATTAATGACGTAGCTCTCTACTTACAAGTGGCAGCCCTTAAACCAGTGACTGACTAATAATAATGAATGTGAAAGGAAACCCCATTGTTTGTTCTTAACTTAGTTATACAATGCCTTTGTTTTGATGACGTCATTTGCTACGTACAAATAAATCGGTTAAATAGAACCGATCGCTGAAAGAGGCAATAGAGAATTGTTGTTTCACGATTTGTTGTGTTCTTTAAACTATAATATGCACAGGCCCTGTGCTACATGTGTAATCATTTGGATTACACTACATCAACAAAAAGGCGCAGTTTGTGTCGTAATTATATCAAAGAGGCCGTCACCTTCCAATCAGTAACCACATAAATCTCCCTGCCGATAAATAATCAAGTAATATAAGAGATCAGTGAAGAACTTTATTTATCATTCTTATAGTTACATGTTGTAATTAAAGAATGCATTAAACTGCTCTTCCCCTTTTATAATAGAGTCTTTTCCTACATGGTTTAATACGTAAAGGTTTACTGTCTTCTACCAAGAAATCGTTCTTACCTGCCACTTTCTCCGGAAAACAAACTTTCTCAAACGCTTCGTTGACAATGATCTTTCGACAGTTGCTTCTCGTTTCACCGATCGCTACAATACAAAATCGAGTTAAAAATGAATAACGATATTTTCTTTTACTTCAAATCTGTTGGATGTTTCATGCATACCAACATGCTTCACTTGGCCAATGCAATGCCAAACACCAACCGCCATTAAAAGACAAGCGGTTTGTATTTTTATACTGCCCCCATTATCGACTATTTTATAAAAAGGAGTTTTGCCAAATGTCAAAGTGTTAACTAGATAACGTTGAAAACAAGAACAGTAAATTGAGATACAGCCGTAAGAGAATGCGATGTTTATCTAACTCAGAGAGTAAAGAAATTTGAAAGGATAAATTATGACATATTTAAAAGCACGTACGCTGTCTTATTACACGATTCATGTTGAAGATGGGGATGACCTATCAATATCAAATTATTCATTCGACCTTTGACATCAAGTATATCAAATATAATATATTTAACATATTCATTTAACGTTAATATACTTCAAATATCCCGTTTGTATTAGATTCCTGTTAGTAACAAGATTTGAATATAAAGGAAACTTACCCGCAGCCATCGATGTTCCATACACTCCTTTGAAGACAGACGTTTCCTATTTAAGAAATGTACGTCGATTAATTGTACTATAGAAAATAACGTTATATATATATTTTGTAAGACCGATTTGAAATTCTTAAAAACACATTTACCAGGCTGCCTTGCTTTTATAATGACTGTAATTATGTAAATCGGAAGTATAGTTATCCTTAAAACCGATATTAATGAATGTAGTTCAAACTATATAATTTAGACATTCCTTTCTTTCCCGAAATTCGTTCTAAGAATATAAATTTACAGTTTGACGTAAATTTCAATTTGAATTCGTTAATATTATTGCTACTAATTAATCAAATACGTGATTATTATTTTATATAAACAATGTATGAACAAAACAAAACAGAAAAATAGAATTTCAAACATTATCATTTCCTGCCTTTCACAAATTTCAATAATGGCTCTCGAATATGGAATTCAGACATTAACTCACTTTGGATCTTTAACTAGAAGATGGGTGATGAAGTCTTTGGCATCCATGGAAATACTTTCGAATTCTTCTGCCGTAAAATCCCACTTTGCATATGTCACATTTACCAGTGTTTCTGCTTCCACCTCTCCCATAAAGGGCGATAACCCAGACAACCTGGAACAATAACCACAGTGTCGTCTAAATGAACCAGAGTGAAAGATGAACTTTGAAAATTCTTTTTCGTTTGTTCACCATTTTGTATATGCATAACAAAAAATCTTCGTTTAGAGGATTACTTTTCGTGAGCTCTTTTTTCATAGATCAGAAGTGACAACTGGATCTATTTTTGTATTGAGGAATTTAAACCGACTGAAATGAATACTGATCCTTTTTACCGTACACACTGTACATGTTTCGCTGGAACTGCTGTCGAGTAAAACAAACATTCGTTTTCGATTGACATGCGACTTATACTGAATTAACAAAGTAGGCAGCTATGTTTAACAAAGCACAACTTCATAGATGTGCCGTTCTGTTGTTAGCTGACCGGTCATTCACAGAGAGTTCTCACATTACTATAATTAAATTTGAATTAGAAATATGAAATCAACACAATTAAAAGTGCTATTTTTATTGTTTTAGTTTAAAGTTATAGAAATGTTATGCAGAATATCAAGAATAGTGCTAAATGTTATATAACACTCACAAAGTTCGAAGACATATTTTGAATGAAGTCTATTACAATACAATATATTCAAGTCATTTTATTTGAGCCTACGTTGTTCCCCATTACGAATGACGATTAGTTATAACTGACTGGGGTCACTACGAGAGTGCTAATGTATGCATAATGTTCACATACAGGGAGCTATACTGTCAAACACTGTAGAGTCAGTATACAAAGTACGATGCTCATAGTTAGGAGGCAAACGCTCTTCATATTATGAAACGTAATCATCAAAGTATGACGTAACTGATAGGGAGAATAGGTAATCGAACACCAAAAGGTTCGAACATGTTGTAGCAAATTGAAAGTATGCGAAGAATCTTTTGGTGTAATTTTTGATAAACGTGCAGGAAATGTATAGATGGTTTCCAATATGAGGAGACGAGTGTTTCATGAAGCATTTCTTAATTTTTCTGACGTGGTATGCTACGTGATGTAGACTGAATTTTGTTGCTATCGTAATGACATTGGTGTTCACCTCTGTTTTACATGCTTTCTACAAACATTGGGCTAATGAATGTAAGCATGTTACTACAGGTGCGCGGTATCTGTATCTAGCTCAGTCGTGTGGTGATGTTATCACTGTGGGTATAACGTCCGGAACCTCAGGGTTCAGCGTACCTTTAATGCATGCATATCACGTGCATTGGCACGAACTTCATACTATATAAACACGGGATGGCTATACAATGATTACATTACATTTCAGCGACTGCATTTCTAGTGGTACAGTAAGCGGCAGGCTTTATGACGTTAAGAATGTGTTAAGAGTATATGCTACAAGTGCCTAACTCCGACATGGATCTTCCATCAAACAGTTCAATTATAAAAAATGTTAATGATCTTTAATGAATGAAAAATTTGATAAAATAATTGACATACAACACATCTCAGTAATTCACAGTTTTTCGATGTTTTTGTTAAAAACTATTTAGGGGCAACTCTAACACAACTCACAGAAAAACCTCTTTTAGAATGCGTTTGAAATACTATTTTTTTCTCTCTTAAATGTCCGGTTCATCCATTTTAACGTCAATTTCTACTCCCTTATTGTTGTGTTCCTTTCTATTTCTGTCCGGGGGCTGTCCAGTAGGGATTTATATACACATGGTTATATTTGTTTTAAATGAAGAAACATATTACTTTTCGGCAACGAACACTGACTTTTAAAATTACATGTGATCAGCACTTGCAAACAACAGTATTTAGAAACACTTACATAAGTTTATTAAAATTAAACTGTAATCAAATTGTGTGCGAGCTGATCTTTCTATTTTATACTATCGATCAGAATTGTTGATGCAATCACATCACTCACGCATATTAGACAAGAATTGATCCCAATCTCACAAGTTAAAAACAATAAACAATTGTCAGAATAACAATGGAGTTCTCAATCCAGACCGACCGCGTTAAGCTAACATGTATTCGTGAAATGAATCCATGTGCTTTATTTACATTACACTATAACATTTACATCATCATCAGCTGTTTATTAGTAAGTGTTTCCTGTCATGTATATGCCTTCATACTGGTTATAAGCACCATTAAGATTAAGTATACTAATAGTTCCCCTCACGCGAGATTGGATTTTCTCTCTATCGGCTTAAATGCATTGATTGATAATCTGTTGATCAATATCCACTTTGCGTTCATAAATTAGAAAAAAAACAAATTGAGATTTTTTTTATCATTATTTCAAAAAAATATCGATTGTAACATGTGAATAAATTAGTTAAGACTTATCCTTTTCAGGTACATAATCTTAGTACCGATTTGATATCGTTGTTTTATGCTGACTGCGAGAAGACTGGTGTCGTTTCCGTTTTGAATATTGCAGTTTCTTGAAGACATTTTACTTATAAGAGCAAATATTAGCACACATTCCGTGATTCTTTCCTGTAAAATGTGTGTCTTAAGAAACTATCATTACCGGAGTGAATGTAACATAAATGAATACTTACAAGACATAACATATAACGCCGATACTCCACATGTCGGTGGCAGGGGATGCGGGGTCATAGTTCACAACTTCCGGGGCCATGAATTCTGGAGTCCCAAAGAGAATCCGCAGCTCATCTTTAGGGGTGTAGGCTCTAGCTAGTCCAAAGTCTATTATTTTAATTCTATTTCCCTCTCTTGTTAAGCATAAAATATTTTCCGGCTGTAAAACAATACGCAACAATATAAATAATATGCCAAGAAATGAGGAATAATACATTGCTTCATAGAAGGCTACGGCTGCTGCTATTTAAAGGATCCAATACATAATTTACTATTGTGGACTCAATACAATGTGGCACACTAATCCTACAATGATGTGATCGATAACCTAATAATTTAATACCACAATAAACAATAATGTGGTAAACGTAAAAAAAACCCAGGTCATTTAAGCACGCATAGTGGTTAAATATATCCATTAAACTGGAAGAGTAAGATCATTGGTGCAGTTTTTATAAAAAAAAAAGAAAGAAAAAAAACCAGACTAATTAAGACCTTTGAAATATCTTAATCACGTTGCGCTGAAAAGACACGAAAGCACATTCCATAACGTTCTGACAAAGAAGAATGCATTTAATAAATAAGGATTTGTTTGTACACTGTGCTGAAACCTTATGTAGCCCTGTGCCGTTAATTATCTTTTCAAAGATGTTTTACTTTCCTCCCCGTGATAATAATTTATATGAGGAATATATACACAAGTATGCAAATGCTCTATTTAACACATGCAAACCCAAAATATTGCACTCCAGATTAATGCACCCATAACTTTAGTTCACGTTACTACAGCACACATTAGGAACACATAAGAATTGTCCCATTTGACCTACATATACTTTATCTCCTACAAGCATGAAATGTATCAAGACACAAAAAGTTATGTTTCCATGAAGATATCAATGATATTATTACAATTATTTTTCAAAACTCGTATAATGCTGTCTCGAATTTTCCGCTTGGGAAGATGAACAGCCGCTGTATGGGACGATCTCGTATTAAGTGCACACTGGCATCATTTAATCCCAGATTCAGCAGTAATAACTTAACGTCAGAACATGTTTTAGGTCTGTGTAAACTAAACTTAACATGGTGTTGACTTGAAAGGTCCAAGGCTCGAGATATAATTGGTAATCTTGAAAGATAAGCTGACGTTTGGTTAGAGAATTCCTGTCAGGTTAAACCACCGCTTAACCTTAGCGCACTAATTATAACTGACTACACTTTATATATACCATGTGTGCCGATACTTATCCAGAACCAGCATCTCAGATAACGAGAGTGGAGGGGAGTTGGGGAGTTTGATTTAACGTGTTTTTGCAAAACAAAAATTGTTAAAAATATACATTTAAAACGAATACACGTGTTTTGCATTGACGAGCGATATCTACTTTACGACTCCTCTTTGTAACCATGTTGATGTGCATAAGTAACGTGACCTTGACGTAAACGCACTCAAGGTTATAGTAACTGGGCACAGTAACCCGGCCCTGCTACACGTAGAAAACTTCACAGCAGCTACCACAGTCGTTTGCATTACTAAATTTACAGCCGTGAAATAAGTGTTATCTTTACTTCCAGTTCTGAGGAACGCGCACAGTTAACAAATCGTCATGGTGCCCAAAGATCTATTTAACTGCCTTAGTCTACAGACGTGCAATACAAATATTACGGTGGTGAGATATAGCTTCTTTTATACGAGAACATCCAGTAGGATTTTTAGATGGATTTTCTCGTACTTAATTGGGATAAACACCCAACAGTGCATTGATCCCTGCGTTTGTAAGACGATGAGTTCAGTAATTGGTCAAAAGATGCTCCAATATAAATAACGTGATAAAACAAACCTATAATTCTATGTTACGTTTCGTTCTTCTTAATGGAATGTTAATACGCCCTTCCTCAATAATCAGATGAGTAATGATATAAAACAATATACCTTCAATACACCATCACTTTTTTGCATGCAAACCTTTATTATAGATATACAAGGCCGTTTTTATCGTGTACTTATATATCAAATGAATCGAACAGGTAGAATAGACATGATTTAAGAAAACACGTGTAAACAATGGGTAACTCACCTTCATATCTAGATGAAGTACGTTTCGCGAATGCATAAATTCCACTCCTTCACAAATTTGCCTCATAAACATGACACAGGCTTTCTCCGTTAATATGAAGTCGTCGTTAATAACCCGTTCAAACAGCTCCCCTCCCGATATACTGGTAGTCAAAGAGAAAGAGATAGTTTAAGTTACAGTGTTTGCGCTCAAACAGTGGTCATTCTGATATTCTGGTCAAACATTCTGGTGAAACCTCCTTATGCAGCTCCCATTTGTACAGCTGGTTTTTTTTTTTTTGTATATAAGAGAGAGAATCAAACATTGTGAGGAAAAACAGGAACGATGGAACTAGAATGTCGCAGTGAAAGTTGACAGATGAAAGTGCATTACATCGATTATGTATGGTACAAAGATTGTTCATTTGTTTCACATACATGTATGCTATCAAAGAGCCAGGTAAATAAAACCCGATGTAATCGTATCGCTGACGTATCTGTCATTTTCCTTTTTGATATTTGAAAAAAACAACAAAAAAAAACCACCAAAACGTGCTTTTAATGGTGATATCCCCACTGACTACGAGTGTCTGCTAAAAGAACAACTATACCGCTTACCATGTTAGAATATCATACCACCGATTTAAAAGCGATACTTTGATGGGTTTCTCTGAATGACAAACTTGTTATATACATTTTATGCAGTTACCATGGAGTCTTATTATCTTATTTGATTTCATTAATGTAAATCCAACCGGGTATTTTGAGCTAGTTGTTCATGTATGTATCATAATAGCTGGGGTCGACATACCAAAAACGAACGAAGGAATTATGACATAACATGGATAACTGTTACACAATACAAGAGGAAAGATTTACACAGAGACCCTTGAAAATGCACAAGGAAAATAACACCACCAGGTGTTACGTAAGAAAAGGTGTTTTTGCTTCATCGACGACACCCGCCACATACGCAGACAATGTAACGTTCACAAATAGTGAACCGCAAAGCGACAACGAATCCATATTGCACACTTCTGACGCAGCACACGGAAATACTTTTCTAAATAAGATCATGATGACGACCATAAAACGGGCCCCTAAGGAAATACATTAACAGGTAATACTGTGTTGAAGTAAACAGGTCGAATCATCCAGTCCTTAGGTTCCCGAACGCTGCTTAACCTAGAAACATTCATAAACTTAACATTTTCCGTAGTTAAGGACATATCGTAAGACTTTTCTTTAACTTCATTAATGCTTCACTTCAAAAAACAAATTTAGTTCAGAACTGTAATAAAGTTAAGAAAAATTTTAATGTTCGTGACAAAACTATTTCCAATTCCCCGGTTAAAAGATTGTTTTATCATGAGATAGAAAATTACGAAAGGAATGAGGTAAACAAGCAAAAGACTGCTGACGTTTATTGCTACAGGAGATTACTTATTTTTTTTATTGGCATTATTGCTATGTAGGACAATGAAAACATTAATAGTTCTCAATTTAGCACGGGGATAAACGCATACGTTGAATAATCATTGTTATAAATAGACGCAACATCCAATTCACGTTGATATCTACATTAGCCACACCCATAACACGTAACGACCACAATTTACCGTAAACAGACTCACACCCTGTCAACATAACATTGTACAATGAAATTACATGCCTAAAAATTCATAAACAAGTATTCAACAATTTGCTGATCAAAAGACAGTTGTTCTATATGTGATTCATGACAACACATGTTTTACTACAATATGTTGCAGTCTGGTTAGTAATTAGGCCCAGTAATGCCACGGTATTTTATGCCTCAGTCAATGCAATAGAAGGTGCACAGTACAGCGCTACCTTATGTCCTTTCTTTTAACGTATTATTCTGCTCTTAAGAATGCCTATATTCTAAAGCCTTTGATCTCGTTTGTGATGAAGAGGTGCAATGAACTGCTCTAGATATTTGTTCTAAATATAAAGATTTAAAAATGCCTATCTAATAACAATACAATTAGAGAGCCCTCTTATGATACGAGTGGGTTGAAACCGCATGTCAAATATTCTCATTAAATTATTTTCCAGTCAGCAGGGTCTTTGGAACTGGAAATAGCGGCGAGAAGATTACTTTGTCTGGAGAGTTGATGCTTAATAAGCAACAAGTATGTGCATGTCCATCTAAAACCCTAGCATCCTTCCCTCTTACAGAGATTTGTTTAGATACAGAATGGAACTACGAAGCTTGTTAACAAGAAGCACGTTGACGATAGTCAATACTTTGTGAGGGCTAGGCAATGAGTGTTCAATGTGGTGAAGCTGAACGCTCTTCTTCTGTCGATGTTGTCAAGATGGGCATGTCGGAGGTGGTTGCAATTTAATACAGTCCTAGGGACTGAAACTTTTGTAGTAGGACACCATACAGTATATAAAGTAACTAGTTATCTAATATCCCATTATTTGTATCATGTTAACTACGACAGAAAACTAACAGAAGATGAGAGAGGTGGTTATAAATATGAAAGGCATGTAAGGCAAGACTATGGCATCATGATATATATCATGATAGTGGTCATGACCTGCTCGATCACGCGTCTCCAGTCGAGTATGTTTACCGCAAAAATGTACTGTGATAAATATCTCAAAAAAGGAATTTTTTTTTTTATGTTTAGACATGAAACCATTTTTTGATCAGCACATTTCAAACATATCGAAGACACAGATAGATATTTATCATTTCCTGTGCGTGAATCACATCACTTTGCCAACTTCCACCTACGGCCTTGCCAGCGATCGGGGGCGTTAAGAACAAGGCCTGGTCTGCCATTGTTGGCACCGTAACAGTTCTGTATTGTCTGTACCAGCATTTAGATTTGTGCTAAAAGTGTGTCTTAAACTTAATCATATCACTGAGTAACTTTGAGTCAAGGCACACTACAAATGTTACTGTGTAATAGTGTTTGCAAGTATGTCTTACAACTAGTCCTGCCACTTTGTAACATTTGCCTAGGTAACTCCCACAACTAACACAGCCACTTTGTAACATTTGCCTAGGTAACTCCCACGACTAACCCTGCCACTTTGTAACATTTGCCTAGGTAACTACCACAACTAACACTGCCACTTTGTAACATTTGCCTAGGCAACTCCCACAACTAACACTGCCACTTTGCAACATTTGCCTAGGTAACTCCCACAACTAACACTGCCTCTTTGTAACATTTGCCTAGGTAACTCCCACAACTAATACTGCCACTTTGTAACATTTGCCTAGGTAACTCCCACAACTAACACTGCCACTTTGTAACATTTGCCTAGGTAACTCCCACAACTAGCCTTGCCACTTTGTAACATTTGTCAAGGCAACTCATACTAGTAAGCCACTTTGTAGCATTTTGTCGAAGCAACTCCTGCCACAAGCCGTGCTATTTTGTAACATAATGGCTAGGCAACCTCTACAACTAGTTAGCCACTTCTTTGTCCAGGAAACCCCCAAAACTAGTTGGCCCCTTTGTAAAATGTTGTCTAGGCAACCTCTACAACTAGTTAGCCACTTTGTAAAATTATGTCTAGGCAACCCCTGCAACTAGTTAGCCACTTTGTAAAATTATGTCTAGGCAACCCCTACAACTAGTTAGCCACTTCTTTGTCCAGGAAACCCCCATAACTAGTTGGCCATTTTGTAACATGTTGTCTAGGCAACCTCTACAACTAGTTAGTCACTTTGTAAAATTTTGTCCAAGTACCGTCATGCTGCTTTGTAGCATCATCTGGAACAACATTATGTCCCGGCTTCCTTACAACTGGGTGTGCTACTGTACAGTACATGTGTACCAACTGTAGCCTCCACCAAGGCCAAGTCGTATGTTAGCTTTACCTTTGTAATGACAGCTAAAACACTCACATGTCCCTACATAACATATTGCTGTATCGGGTTGTATGGTATATGTTGTAATAATCATACATATTCTGTTTGATGTCACAGGTCGTTCAAAAACACAAAGGTGCTTTACGCTGTGCGATAGATAGACAGTGTGACTCGGAGAAACATCAGAAGCACTTTTGACGCAAGGGGAACAGAAACCAGGTTAAAGGATATGTTGAGTGCTGTTCAGTTTCATGTTCAGTTCTGTTATCCAAATAAGCTTCAAATAAGATATTGTTTCTCATTTTTCTTTTGTATTAAGAACAAATAAACCTGGTTATACTGTCATAAAGAGGACATTGAACTATCATGGCAGTAGGCAACGTGGCAAATGAAACAATGGGCATGATGTCGAAGTTTCTTTACAGCAGTAATCGAGGGACATACCATCCAGATTTAACCTATTGCGCTAAAACCTATACTGGCTAGTAAATCGTTATGTTCTAGTTTGTACTTTGTCACTTATGGGTAACATACGTACGTTTCATTTTGTATAGATGTTTAAGTGACACTTAAATACAGTAGCATAGGCATCCATTCCATTAGCGAATTATATATTAAAATATTTGCACGAAAAGATGGCGATTAAGGCAACTTACAGTTCGGTTACAAGGCAGAATTTGTTTTTGTTCTCGAAGGCGTCGTAGACTTGTAGTAATCGGGGGTGCTGTAAAGATTTCATGATGTCAAACTCATTCATAACATCCTTTCGCTCCTGTGGACCCTCAATTTCGATAAACTTTGCCGCTAGGTTGCGCCCCGTTCGTTTCTCTTGGCATTTCTTCACTTCTCCAAATTTGCCTCTGTAGAAGGTGTAAAACAAATGGTGATTTGAATTGGGTATTAAATATGTATAGCATACTGATTAAACATTTCAATCCTTATATTAACAGACAGAACCAACAAAGTATACTCCGTTTCATATTTCTGAATATTTTCATTTGGTTCATAACATCAAAATATACTTTGTTTTATATTTCTGTACAGATTCCTTTTGCGTTTAAACAAGATGTATAAATGATAAAACAGCAATTAATAATAATAATAATAATAATATACAACATTTGATATAGCGCCCTACTAGCTAGCATAAGCCGCTTTACAGTACATATATATACAGCTAATACAATTAGCATATACATTAATTCATTCCTTTTTTTGAGGAATTCGCAAGAGCTGCCTTATCAGGCGCTAACAACTAGTCCTGTGCCACCTGGCTAATATCTCCCTATGTGTGTATGCCTGCATGTGTGCTGGAGATGTATTGTGTTCTGTTTTGTAGTGTGACCGTGCTTCCAACGGCATCTTTTGTAGTGCCACCGCTCTTGAAAGCTACAGCACAGATACCGCAACATCCACCCCAGACCATTTTATACTCCACCTGGGTTGTTGGAGTTGTGTGAGCAGGAGAAAAAACACTTTCTCTGATATTCCATGCGTACGACGACTTCGAGGATCAAACCCCCCGTCTGCGTGGAAGGCCGAAGTGTTAACCACTCGACCAATCCGCCCATTAATGCTTCCCGTTTCCATCATGCAACAAACGTGAATGGAAAACCATTCGAGAATTTCATTCAAAATTCGTATTTGACATTACAATATGGTATTATAGGACAATGGAAAAGAAAACCTGAATAATTTCTATGAATTGTTACAAAGGTTGTTTATCACTTATAGTTAGTGGGATCTAATTGGAAATAAAAGGACATTTTCATCCCCCATATTGACCTAAAACTTATCAGTTAAATTTAAAGTATTTAAACCAGCTCACCTTCCCAGAAGCAGGTCTGTGATGTCATAATCCTGGGTCACCCATCTTGACGTCTTCACGTGAACGTCACGTTTTTCAAACGGGGACTCGTCCACTGTAAATATAGTCAATAACACCATCAATACGGGTGATGTGTGTATCTACACATATACAGAAAAACAATAATTTAACAATGAAGTGTATGAAAACGGGCAATGATAAATTCCTATTGAACACAGTATTCATATAAGCATTATTAATATCAAATAAAAAATAATTGAAGAACAGCTAAAACTTTAATCTGATACAAATATTATGTTTTCTCTCTAAAACAGTTCAGCGGTTCACAACATTACCATGTTGATGTCATTAAAGTGATTCCAACCTTTCAGCAATGACATTCACTTAAGCAATGAATATTATAGCAAATATTGTTATGGTCCTATAACACACATTGCTATTGATGAACATTTTAATAAATCCTGGCAGCAGACTTCTCAAAACATTGCAATTGAAGGATGCTGAGCAAATGTAAATATATCAAAATGATTGCAACTGTTCATGATTTCATTTACTATAATAGAATAAGAAAAACGAAGAATGTTCAAAGTCTAAAATATATTTCTAAAGATGAAAACAGGACATGTGATTTTTTCTGTGTGGTCGTATTTCGCTGAAAAGATAATATAAACTTATGGACGGTAGAAGTAAATAACGTGTTCACCAGATGACCATAGGCCTAAAACAAGTAGATTAGATGTCATTGACCGCACCATACGCCAACGTTAAGGTCAGCGTGGTAGTCGAAGGATAACACGAAGGCACCAGCCTTAAAACTTGTTTGTTATTCACTCAAACAATGTTGTTTATTGGTTTGTATAGAGATAATTATGTCTGATATTGTTTTCCCGAGTCATGTCTAAGGAAATCCTTACAACCTTTATGAGCGTAAATAAAATACTCATTTCCTCAGTATCGGATGTTATAGATTAAGTATAAGCCTATGTATATTGGTAAAGTATAACGGTTCAACGCTAAGCTTTGTTTTTCTACGTTGGTTCTTTGAAGATTAAACTAGTACAGTTTCCAAGCGGAATATTTGATCTGTGAGACACATTATTATTTGACATTATAGTACCGTAAAAATACGGTTATTTCTAATTCTGCTTTATATCAATGAACGATGCAGGATCTATTTTCGAGACATTCGCAAACTAATTCGTGTCTTTTTCTCTATTTTGCGATATCCAATTATTTATAGCACTAAACACTTTACTCACTGCAGGGTGCTACTGAATGGGAATCGTGGTATTTTAGTTTCTATGGTATTTCTACCTCTGCTCTATCTCAATGTGACTCTCAAAAACACTGCTGCGTATTGCTTGGTGCAAAGTGGTCGGTGTTCGCTGTGGTAAGGCTGACGAGGCAAAACTACCGGGCAGGCCAGACTACCACGTTAGATACACAAACCAGGACTGTAGGAATATTGGCAACATCTTTCGAAAGGTGAAGGTCGCCAAATTCAGAAGGCCACGTGCTATATGGTGAAGTTTATTAGTATGGGCTGCAGGGCATAAATCCATATAAATGAGCTTCCTACTTAATGATATACATACGATCATATTTTATGGTGCAAAAACGAAATGAATATTTGGCTGTTTAATGGTTTTAAAAGAAATAAATGATAGACAATGATATATATGACTAAAAACATGACTTAATTTGTTCTAAAATCATGAAGTGAAAAAAACCGGAGGAATATGTTACACATGAAGTGTAAATGACGTGAGAAAAAAAATATAACAATTTAATTTGTATATGGTTGTAAGCCATGTTTATAAGGGAAAATACCAACTCATGCATTGTTAATTTCAAAGTATTACTTTCCAGCCAATAACTAGTCGCATTAATTGGGGAAAGAGTAACTTTTGTGAAAATAACCCTGTATACAGCATCCGAGACGATGTATCAAAGACCATACCCACCAATCAGTTAAGCTAATACTTAGGACAGTAAGACGTGGCTTCGAGACTTATACTGGTGAAAAACAACTAGGATTTGTAAGGGCTTTTATGTGTACCGGCCTGGGAACAGAACACGTTGACTTTTGCACTTCCCGAACGTTCGGCAATAGGCTTTACGTTCACAGATATATGAGCTGCGGCTAACGTTCGATTTGAATAGGGTGTTAAAGTTATAACACTACCCGACGATGTCATGTATTTCCCTTCAGAAATAGTTCGACATATTACTGAAACAGAACCTGAGAGATATCTTTCATGAAGATCACTTGGGCTTTTGCCTTCTCTATACTGCTTAAGGCGAAAGTTCTTCCACTATTTTATCAGGAAACTGGAGAATAACGTTTCATTTGTTCGAAACGACAAAGCAATCGTAATCAAAGACAGATTCTGTCCAAAATCTTCTGTTTCGCAACGCAGTTTTCAGTCCTGTATCTCTAATGTCTATTGTCTTTCACAAGAGTCTCTCCTATGTAGTACATAACAATTATTGTGCGTGTTCAACGTATCATACCGGTGTTATTGGGTAAATAGGTCGAGGTACTATGTCCCCGTTATGCCCGGCATGTAAATACGTGACATAGTGCACTGATTACTGGGATGCCCTAAGTACAACACATGTTAATCAATTCCACGTAAATGTTTATCGCTCATTCATAAGTGTGGCACGTGAATCAGTTCCACACCGGGGACCCTATACTCGGCTGAGTTTGGTTCTGCGAGTGCAGCACATAAACAGCGTTAGTTGTAGTTAATTAAATAGAAACACTGGTGGCTGTTGAGTTTCCTCACCTATTACGTTAGTACGTACTATGTACCCCCATTGGGAGATTCAGGGGGTTAGCAGGTATGACGTAGTATTATTTCCGCGTAACAACACCTGTGTGAATTCTAGTTTTTTCTTTGCAAAATACATCTAATAGCTGACAAGAATGAATAAAATGGATACAAATTTAGAAACTTGGATGTTGTCATGTGAGAAGGACAAGACGAGACAGAAGCTCCTGTAATATTCTATTATCAAAACAATATGCATTTCCAAATTTGATAGATCACTGTTACTCTCCAAAGTTACATTGTAGGGATCAGAACATAAGCTCGAAGCTTACACTGGGTTCGTGTGACGTGTATGATATCGCTAGTATATCTTCTCGATTACCATTGCTATGTTTTGGTGTTTATCACATGGTTCTGCTATTGTCTATTTGATTACTAGTTCTGTCTTTCGGTACCAATTGCGAGTTCTGATTTTGTCCGGACGTGCTGCACCTGTAGTATGCGTTGCCGATGTGCGTTGACCTTATGCTGGGTATCAGTTCTAGCATACTGACTACATGACAGTCAGTATGGTTCCATACTTGTCCTCTCAACCAATTTTCCCTGCATGTAAGGGGAAACTGCATGTTATCATGTGGGAATATTGTTGTTGGTGCCAATACAGAATCGTGTGGTTTTTTTCTGTGTCTTTTACTAATGGGACATTGAACGAAATAATTTTTGAGTATATTTTCTATTAAAAGAAATTGAAGTTGAAGAATGTGTCTATGCAGATTTTTGACAATTACAACAAGTGCGGGTGAGATTTGCAAAGATCGTCTCCTAGAGAATAAGTTTATCACAGCATATATTCCTACAGTTCTCCTGCAGTGATATCATCTCTTATAGTTCTCGTCGCTGCACGTGAGAGCGTGCACATTACCTACGCACGAGGACATGACCTGCCGTGTAGGAGCACGCGACCCGGGGCACTACATCTCATTGTTATTTAAGTAGCCCAGTAGTAGATACTTTGTGTGTAATGGATTGTCCCTGAGTCGTAGCAGGCGTTCTGCGCTGGCTCAGGTGTATAACATATATCTCTGGTACATCTTTGCACAGATACACGGCACAGATAAATCGACTCTACAAAGCTCTTACTGGAGCCAGCAAAGTGTTGGTTAAGTCCCGGCAGTATCCGGTCCCGAAGACGGTGGTCGGTACCATATTCTTTTGATAAGTCACCTACACACATCTTATAAACAAACATATTACAGTTTTTGCTCTGTAATTATAAGGTTTTTGGTTCAGTTTTGTTCCTTTCTTACAATTGATGGCGACGAAAATACATCATCCACCATGATAACACATCATCCATCTCAGGTTTCTATCCTAGTTTATCCTTAGCAACGGGATCACGCGAGAAATTGAAATGACATCCTGTCGAAATAGCGTCACAATTACAAATTTGTGCTGACATCATAGGAGATCTGCCTATGTTTTCTCAGTTTTTGTTTTTCATTTTTACAGTACTTTGAATATATTGCTATGTTAGGATTGGTGATTGAGTTTTTCTTGAGACAATTTCAATTTGTTCCATTGATTTATTACCCAATTAACTGTTCCATAACAAGATTCATCCCCAAACAAATGATTCCTTAACTAAATATTACTATGCTATTTGTGTAACTGAAACATACGCACGTTCAGCACATATGCTGGCTTAAACCAAATATTTTACAAGCAATTCTTTACAAAAAATCTAAATCTCAGTTCGCAAGCTTGTTTTCGGCTCATGTCTTGAACATATGTCTTAACGTGTCATGGTCGTTGGGACGTGCACACGCCATCCTTGACCTCGCGTAAATACACGGGCGATGTTTGTTAGTAGTTATCTCTCATTATGTAGTGTGGTTTGGCGCTGATCACCACGTGGTCGAAATTAATGAAAGTACGGTCCCAATTAAATGAGGTCACAGCTGCCAAAAATGTACTGCCGAACTGTAACAAGGCATAAAAAGCCAAACAAACAACGCGTTGTAGTCATAAGCATGCATAAATACCACATTCCACGTGTTTCCTTTCGTGTAAACATTGTTCTAAATTTGAGAAAATTTACTATCACGTGATTTGTCGAGGTCACTGCACACACGTATTGACATTAATTAGTGTGGCTGGAGCCTCTGCCTGGAATTCTGAGGGACTGGGCCCCACAGACTATCGTGTCAACGCACGGCAGCTGTGTATTCCAAATTGTTGCGTAGATTTATCGAAAAATATGTTCTTTGTTAGAATGCAGCATGTGTTTTGGCATTAAAAGCACGAAGTTGCACTTGCGAGGGATTTGCCGGTGCATTTGCAAGGTTTTTTTTCCCAAAACAGTTTATACATAACTGTACACGGGAATTTACATTACACAAACAGTAAACATACCGCCTATTTTTATTTTTATTTTACTTACATGTATTTAACTCACTACATTAAATATTTTTGAAAGTTGAATCTAGTGGTCGTCTCTCCTCGCGGATTAATGCGACAATAAATATCTCGGTTAACGGTGACGAAGTTTTACAATACAGAAATTGGCTCGGTTTGTTTTGACAGTGAGTATTACATTGTCAAACAACGATTTCCAAAAAGTGCAATGCATCTCTTCCTTTAAGTTGTTCCATTGCAGATTTATACCAGTATTGACGTCTATTATGTGGATGAATCAATTTTTCACCGTCCTATTAACAGTTAGGTCATTTAAGGACGTGCTATAATGTGGTGACACTGCAATTCCCATAAACCACCTTAAGTAAACAACGTTCGTTTCACGTGTATTTAATGTCAAGTTGTTTGTTTGTTTTTTAAGGGCTTGGTAAAAAAAGGAACAATTAAGATCGTATGAGAAAGTTTTCGATGAATGATGGGACCAATCAATATCCCCTTTTAACCTGGATAAGGGTGTATTACACTCCATGATGACAATAGACAAACCTGGGAAACTTTTGGAGACACTACCGAAAATAAAGCGCAAGTTATAGAGACAGGAAAATAAAGAGCTCCAAATGGTTACAGGTTCAAAGATAGAGGGCAAAAACGAAGGTCCCTGATTATGCAGGGAACCCTAACTTAGGCGCCACTTACATTCTTGTATAACAGTAGTTATCTCATTTGTTTACCGGATTTTGGACGTCATTTTACCTGTTTACTCGGAACTTTCCATTAATTGAAGGTGGATGTTATTAGCGTGGTCTATAGACCCACAATTACAACGTGAAGTGGTCGTCGTTCACGAGCACATGCACGTCCAGTACCTGACCAATAAACCCTCTGAATACAATTTGTATGTTGTAGTTTGCACGTGATGGGGGAATAGTAATAAACATCGGTTCTGCTACCGTACACTCTACCATCTGGTCAGATAATCACGAGGCTGGTCGAGTAATGGTCAGAGAGAATGACCGAGCGAGGCAGAACGAGGGGGAAAGGACGCGCGTGCTTTACACGTTCACAAAGCCATCGTAGCGAGGTTATGATTGATGGTCTATTAACACAACACCTCGACGGAGTGTCGGACGGAGGGGGATTACCCTGCCAAGAATGTTAATGGCTATGCCCTCGGCTTACATTCAAGAGGCGCTACCTGCTAAATTGCTATCCATCCAAAACCAAGGAGATGCGTTCTAAAATAGCAAGAAACACTTGTCTTTGAGTTTGTAGATTGATTTACCCACTAAACAAGTTGGCGTAAAACTTCACGTTATTTACACAGTCTTTCTTTTGATCCGATATCTTCATTTAATTATGTATAATTTCATAGGAACCGTTTCATGTTTCTTTTCAGCTATTAAAAAACTCAACCGTCTCGCTGTCGGAACACGTACATAGGATAGTCGTTACATGAATTAAGACATACTGAATTGATTAACACGAACACCGGACGCAATCTTAAGTTAAATTCTCTAATATTTCAACACATCCTACAAGCTGTGCCACTATGATGCGCCAACGTCTCTGTCCTAATTACAATATCAAAGCGTAGGTCGAACAGATGACACCAACAGGGTTTTAAATACAAATAAAACTACATCAAAGACACATGAAAACAAAAATGATTAATTTAAGTTCGTTTGAAACGCAATAACTACTCAGTCCCGCACATGAATTAGAAAAGTTGTTAGTTTCATATTTGTGTTTGTGGTAACTCATATGGACTAAATTGCGCTTTGATAATGTAGTTAGAGCTGTTTCGTAAAATGACACGACGCCGTGAGCAAAGTTGGGTTTTGCAAACAGGGTGGGCGTTGCTTATGTATGGAGTGGAGTTGGAGTTGAAAAGTTGAAAAGGTCGTGTTCAACCAACGGAGTGATTAATAGAGCATTAAGTGCCACTTTTGTCTGTTATTGTACGAGTTATAGTTGAGAGGATCTGTGTACCTACCTCCTGTTGGTTCGCTCTCGTCAACGTGCACTTTCGTGTACTTCTGCATCTTCGTTGGGTCCAGAACCATACACCTATAAAATGAATAATATTATTGACTTAAAATTGCATTGTACACTACGGAAGCAATGTCCAAATATTTGGAACCATTGCATTGGAACTTATATAGGAAATCAAAGTGTTGTCAAAACGCCGAAACAGATGTGACAAATCCTTATTTTTCAGTCAAAATCTCTGTTTCTTTATATCAGGTACAACGCTTGTGAACCATGGAACATTGTACATACATTTCATGAAATATGTTCGCGAATCGTGGTACATGTACTTAACTTTATATGATTGTAAAATGTGGTTCTTAACATCCGGTAATATGCTTGTGAATCGTGGTACGTAACATTAAGTGGTGTTTTTTATCGAGGAATTAAACATTGCGTAATATGTTTTTGAATCGTGGTACTTAACATTACATAATATGATTGCGTATCGTGGTCCACATGTAACAGTCTGAAAATGCAAAACATTGGTTACTACGGTGAACGTTTGAAGATGCAGTTACACACTGTTTCCACTGGAACAGTGAAAATGTGGCGTGATTTTCATTTTATCCCCGTATAATTTTTAAGGCGCCATACAAACATCCATCCTTTGATGAAAGCTATAAACAGCTACCTGTCTCAAAATCAACTTGACTGATTATCAAACTGATGAATAATTTCATTGGATCCATATCAACTTACGGTAAACTGATATTTGTCTCGATAGCATACTAATTATATACGCTATTTGAACGCCTGCCAACTTAAAAGGACTGACCGTCGGCTCACGAATCAAGCAATGTAACAAACCTATTTAAATAAAAAAGAAATTAAAAAACAAAAACAATTAAATAAAGCTTGATATTTTAATTGATTTAAAAAAATGGTATGTAGTGAATATCCGAGATTATTCCCGGTCGTTAAAATGTCGATCACAATCCAATATGCTCTCATAAACGTAACTTGTTTATGAACTTCAAATTCAAAGGTTCCTTCATATAATGTTTCTCATTACTCACTACAGTTTCAATGTTCCTTGAGAAACATTAAAAGAACAATACCACGTTGTTATTTTGGTGATACAAGACCTACGACATTGGGTCCTGTCTGTGGAATGATTGTGATGAGCTTGAGGATGGTATGATATTCATGTGATGCCCAAGCCGGTAATCACGGTCAAGCTTATGCATGAAAGGCAAAATGTCTGATATCGTGTTTTACCTTTGCGTTTTAAAGATAAAAGATGGTAATCGACGGTACAGTATATCGACATGGTACAAATCAGACCCTCTAAATGCCAGTGGTTTAGCTATTCAAGGTTGAGAGTAGATCAGTGCCTAGACACTGCGTGTAAAAACCTCCCAACATGGAACAAGCCTATCACGAACTGTGATGAAATATTAGCGGCCGATCAAATGTTTCAAGATTATCTCATAAAGACCGAGTCCGCGAAATCAACATATCTGATAAGAGGAAACACAAAAACTCGATAGGAATCAAAACCGGTATGAGTCTAACCATCTCAGGAATCCTTGCGATCACGTGATCTAACCGGAAGTACATGGCGAACCTACATTCCTTTCCGAAGATAAAAAAAATAGTGCTCAAAACATCGGAAATTCTAAATTCCAATTTACCTATTTAAACTTTACAGTAAGTACTTTAAGAAAACAGATGTGTTTTACAAATAGAAACCTGAGTTTACATTTTAGAATCGTGCATGTATTCAGAGATTCTAGTTAGCTATATCCGAAATATACTGCCAATACATAGAATAACGAGAGAAAAAAATCTTGTTATAAATACGCTAAATTCTCATTATATTGTCACAACTTGGCGTTATAAAGAGGTTTGATGATACCCTGAGGGGGACGTCTGAATGAGTAGGCAAGAAAATAAAAAGGGGTGTTCAGATTATTGTCAAAAATTGAGGTGGCAAATATATTTGGTTTGTTTGTGTTTAACGTCTTATTAACAGCTATGGTCGGTATCTGGCGACTGCCAAACGTAGGCCTCGAACCCGCGACCCAGTGTTGGAGGGCTAGTGGTGGCAGATCTAGAATGTCAGACGCCTTAATCACTTGGCCACCGCGGTAACGAAGAACATTACATCAAACTAAATTTAACTACAGTGCTTATCAATTGGTTTTTATCTTCTAAAAAAGGTAAAGAAAGCAATACCGTATATCGCTTTCTGTTTCATTTAATGAATCCTACGGTCTCTATTACGTTATTTCTGGACGTTAGATTCTAAAACAAACGGTTTTTCCCCATCATTTTCCTCGATATAACGCCCCTCGTGTTTCACTATATAGTAACCCCTCGATATTACATTTGTATGACCCTTGTTCATCAGTATACATTAAAACCATTATACAGTGATCCTTGTTATCACAAAAGAGTAAAATTAGTAAAATTATTATTAAAACTTCGATATAATGACTCTTCATTAATCGCTTTACTGTAAAACCTTGATATACGATGCCTCGTTTATATTTAAACTGTTAACCCCGTTATGATGTCATTCGTTTATCATTTTACAGTAACACATTGATATAATATCCACACTTCATAAATATAAAATTTAAAATTCGATAAAGCGTTCATTGTTAATTACTTTATGATAAAAATACTGATGTAGTGCTGCTCGTTTATCACTATATATTTTTGTACAATGTACTCGTGTCATTTGTCATCTTGCTCAATTCTGCCATTTTATTTCGTGCCTGCTCCGTCTTTCATTTTTTCATCAACGTATCGCCAAACCTACACATGTATAACGCCAACATTAAACTTGATAAATTGAGGTAATGCATGAAGTGTTACTTCAAAATATTACATACATACCGCTAATTGCAACACTGTGCTAACTCGTAGTTTGGTTTGTTTACCCGAATATAATACTTGGCAGTCAGAGCTGTACATGGTTCAGTGAAGTATGCCTATACACAGAAATTGTATTAAGTAAAACTTCGTTATACTACCACCACACTAAAACTTCGTTATACTGCCACCACTATACCTCCCCAGACAACACTATAAGAGAGAACTGTTCCCGAGGGAAAGGGCCATAATAGAATAATAATGATAACATATTCAATAATTAACAACTGCTGGAAATTTGAACGTAACATTTGATGTTTTGATTCATGAGTTGTTCACTTGTTGTTAATTGTAACGGTACAATTACTAAATTTGAAAGAAGGTGTACAAACATTGGAATGTCGAAATCTCTGCCAAATGATGGTTTTTGTAAATGCCGCCGCAAACCTTGCCTAATGGCAATAAGATAACTTTTTGAGTAGATCTCTCCTTTTTTGTTGCGTATATTGGCATAGAAATCCGCCAAAACACCGTTCAATTCACTGGATTGAATCACCGATAGGTCACATACGGTTCCCATTTCCAGTAGGAAGTCTTTAAGAACTGCGATGGCAAATTGTGTCGCATGCTTCGTCTTTATGCATTGCTGAGCCTCAGTGAAGCAATCGGCATTCCCGATCCCGAATCTCGAAGCCATTTTGGCAGACGACAACAATGAAGTGAAAGTAGAAAATGTACAGCGCCCCCTAGGAGAAGGGGCGTAACTCTTAGCGTCACGTTACTTTTCCCGCAGTCTCAGCGATCCAAAAAAAAGGTATAGTGCTCGTCTCCAGGTATCGTTCCCGTTGTCAAGGGCGGATGCTAACTATACCAAATAGAACAAGGGTAGTTATCCAATAGCTATCCTAGAAATTATCATGTGATGTACTAAAAACACAATAGTAGTGATAAACGTGGCTCATTATAACACAAAAGTAGTGATAAACGAAGGACATTGTTACAAAATAGTAGTGATAAACGAGGCTCATCATAACACTATAGTAGTGATGACGAGGCTCATTATAAGAACATAGTAGTGATAAACGAAGCTCATTATAACACAGTAGTAGTGATAAACGAGGCTCATTTTAACACGATAGTAGTGATAAACGAGGCTCATTATAACACGACAGTAGTGATAAACGAGGCTCATTATAACACAATAGTAGTGATAAACGAGGCTCATTATAACACAATAGTGAGTGATAAACGAAGCTCATTACAACACAATAGTAGTGATAAACGAGGCTCATTATAATACGATAGTAGTGATAAACGAGGCTCATTATAACACGATAGTAGTGATAAACGAGGCTCATTATAACACGATAGTAGTGATAAACGAAGCTCATTATAACACAATAGTGAGTGATAAACGAAGCTCATTATAACACAATAGTAGTGATAAACGAAGCTCATTATAACACAGTAGTAGTGATAAACGAGGCTCATTATAACACAATAGTGAGTGATAAACGAAGCTCATTATAACACAATAGTAGTGATAAACGAGGCTCATTACAACACAAAAGTAGTGATAAACGATGCTCATTATAACACGATAGTAGTGATAAACGAGGATCATTATAACACGATAGTAGTGATAAACGAGGATCATTATAACACGATAGTAGTGATAAACGAGGATCATTGTATCACAATAGTAGTGATAAACGAAGGGCATTATAACGAAAGAAGAATAATGATACACCAGGGGCAATATATTGAGGATTTACTGTATGTATGTTTTTGTAACAAGTACATGTTATCATATTTTTATCGCCAGAACTATATCAGAATATCTATTAACATGTCATGCACAAGTTTGTCAGAAAAGAACATCTAAAAATTATCAAAAACGGCTGCATCTGTTACATATCGCGTTACTATGCACTTGGCACACAGAACAGTAGAATTTTAAGGGAGTGATCGTGAAATATCATACCAAGGGATAATGATAGATATATATATATATAAATCAACTACATCTTATCAGTTTCTTAAAATATTACCACAGTTTTTTCTAAATATAACTTGTAAAATCCTTAAATAGGTATGTTTTCGACGCCTATATCACCGGTGTATTTCCGCTCTACATACTTAATGAAATATTTGTGGTTTTCAGCACTTTGCTGGGACCGTGCCTCCCACATGCGCGTGCCGGTGTTGGCGAGCTG